TCCATATATTTTTAACAACGCCTTTTTTTTTGAAGTAGAAGGCTAAATAATTAAAATAAAAAAATAAAAGATAAAGATTTTCAAAATCAGCATGAAAAACTAATTAAGAATTATAGGTTAAACTATAAAAAATCTAACAAAAGATGATTAAGGACCTTAAAAAGCCAAACTAATGCTCCGTTAAGCTTAACGAAGAGGTGTAGGCGTTATGGAATTCCTAAAACTTAAATTGCACATAATAGTATTTATAGAAAAGATAAAGAGAAGCAACATTACGACAATGTAGTAATGGCTGGAGGTTGGCTACAAGAACAGGTCCAACTAGGTTTACAATTCGTTTTTTCACCTTGTCTAAAAGAAAAAATACATTATTGGAAGATCCGCCCCAGGTAAGGCAACGGTATTCCATACATGGACGGATTTGAGATTTATAGAAAAAAAGAAAAGAGTTGGAAGTAAGAAAGTGGCAAGCACGATAAAGAGGTTCAACCATAGCAGATGCTAATTGTGCAATCGATTTGATATATGGTTTCCAAAAATGATCGGAAGTAAGACTTAATCCTAAAATATAAAAGGTTGATGACTCATTGTATACATTACCGTTCATAAATACAGGAAGATCTAGAGTATTGGAACTACAATTAACTGAAAAAAATTGAGTTTCTTTTGAGTTAAAGGTCACCAGCCACAGTGCCCCATGCTTTAGCCGAATTGAGATCCTTTTTAAGCTCAAATGTTACCTTCAAGTAATCAGAGAGTGTTGGCTTCTTATCAAGACAAGAACAAATGAAAGTATCATCAGCTAACAATGCCATTTAGATGTGAGAATTTCTGGAAGATTATTAATGTAAATTAAAAAAAGATATAGGGTCAAGGATGGAACCTTGAGAAACACCTTAAATTACAGGATATGAGGAAGAGTGCCGTTCATTGAGGACAACTTTTATACTAAGACATGTAAGGAATAATTCAATAATCTTAAAGATGTTACTTGATACACTGTAATAAGAGAGCTTATGGAGCAGACCAGCATGCCAAACTTAATAAAAACCTTTAGAAATATTTTGATCAATAGTCTTAGCTTCTCCACATTTATCTAATGCACAATATAACCTGTCAGTTAATATCGTTAACAAGTTAGCTATAGAGAACAAAAAGATCGAAATCTATATTGATGATCAGAAAGTAAGTTATTAGATTCAAGATGAAAGAATTGTTTGTGAATGAAAGAAGTGTTTGTTAATTAAAGTCTCAAAAACCTTGCTTATGTTAGTAGGAAGACTAATGATATGGTAGTTAGACGAGTCAGATTGCTCTCCAGAATTTTTGAAAATAGGAATAACAGATGCCGCTAACCAGAAGGCTTGAAAACAAGACTTTGACATGCTCTTGTTAAATAGTTTTGAAAGTATAAATAACAGCTCCGGAGAATACTTCTGCAAGACTTTTACAGGTATGTTGTCAAGACCAAAAACTGCAGAAGAGTCTGAGCCGAAAATCTCTTTAGATACAGAAGCTGAAGTGATAAGAAAGTCAGGCATTGGATTATTCTGTTTTTCGGATATATTAGGTAGAACGTGACTAGTGGAATCAAGAGATAATATTGATTAGAAGTTCTTAGCAAACAATTCAGTTTTGCCTTTAGGTGAGATAAAAAAATCTAAACCATACAAGAGAGATGAAATCACAGATTTACCCTTGTAATAGATACTGTTAAAGATTCTCTAGAAGTCACAATAGCCTAATTTTTGAGATGAACTACAAGATTGCGTTACTTGACGAAAGCGGGCTTTCTGGCAGTTGTAAACAGGCGTTTGTTTCATGGAAAAATGTTTTGGAGAGCGATATTAAAATAATGGTTACGATGAGAAGTTGCAGCACTGCAATGAGAGGAAAACCATGGACAAAAATGTAGCTTGACTTGGAATTGTCGAGAGGGAATAAAAGATTTTATGTCAGCCTGAACCCAAGAAGTTACATAAGAAACACATTTCTCAGTAGAAAGACAAAAGTTTTTTACCCAAGGGCCATCACAAAGAAAATCACATTCCAGATTCAGATTCTGACTCTGGGATGTAATTTACTTCGTGATGGCCTTTTTGGTACTTCAAGGTAGTTGCAAAAGGTATGATTATAGGGGATTCCGATGATGAAAAAGAATAGGATAATAGTTTTAGAGAAATCAAACCGTAACAAGAAGCGCCCAAAAATGAATTTGGAGAAACTGAACACTGACTAGGATCAGAAACAAGACATAAATCGAGTAGAGAAGGTAAATGATTTTGATTTTTAGGAAAGCGAGTTGAAAAGTTGACGAGAATTGAAAAATCTCGAGTTTAAAATTTTGACGAGAACGGCAAAATTTGTCGACCTCAACATTTGCAAAGTCACTGACACCTGATCCAAGATATTTAGTGTGATGAGTATTAAAGTCACAAACAAAAATGGTAATGGCTGAAGGATAAAGGAAAAGGGTTTTATTATTTTGATCAGAAACAAAATCAAAATGAAAACAGAGAAATATAAAACAAGGAATAAAATGATTGAGTGAAGCAGTGCCAAACGAAAACGCAAAAATGAACAGCCTGTGGATTCAAATATAATTATTAAAGAAAGATAACCATCAACACTAAGATCACTATATAAGACAGCCAAACTCATATTAGTCTCACAAAGAGCAAATGGGTATGA